CGTCCCCCGCCCACCCCGCCAGCCGGGCGGCCACTGATGCCTCCGGGCACGGCGCAGGGGACCCCTGGTCCCAGCCATCGGCTCCCAGCCCCCCGAAACCCCTGCCCTGTGGGGGGGGCAGCTGCCCCCACCCCCTGCCCAGCCCCATCCTGTCCCCAGCCCCAGACTGGTGTGACTGGTGGGGGCTCTGGGGCGGGGGTCCCACACAGCACTGCCAGCCCGGCTGCTGCCCTGTGCCACCTTGTGCCGTGCCGAGCCGTGCCATGCCGAGCCGTGCCATGCCGATCCGTGCCATACCGAGCCATTCAATGCCGTGCTGTGCCAGTCTGCGCCATCCTGTGCCATACGACGGCATGCCATGCTGTGCCGTGCCACACCATGCCATGCTCTGCCGAGCCATGCCATGCCGTGCCATCCATGCTGTGCCATGTCCTGCTGCGCTGAGCCATGCTGTGCCATGGGGTACGCTGCCACGCTGTGCTGAGCCATGCCGTGCCATAGAGTGCTGTGCCGTGCCACACCATGCCGTGCTCTGCCCTGCTGTGCCGAGCCATGCCGTGCCATGCCGTGCATGCTGTGCCAAGCCATGCTGTGCAGTGCCATGTCATGCCGTGCTCTGCCCTGCTGTGCCATTCCGTGCCATGCCACACCACGTCGTGCCGTGCCGTGCCGCCCGGTACCCCGCACGGGGCTGGCGCTGCCCTGACGCCCGCCTCCCCAGGCACCACCTGGATGCAGGAGATCCTGACGCTGCTGTTCAGCCGCGGGGACCTCCTGCCGGCCAAGACCATCCCCAACTGGGAGCGGGCGCCCTGGCTGGAGCAGATCTACTTCAGGGACGCGCTGCAGGACACGGCCGCCCGCCGGCTCATCACCACCCACCTGCCTGCCCACGTCCTGGCCCCCGCCCTGCAGAAGAGCAAGGCCAAGGTGAGGAGGGGCCGGGACGGGCTGGGGGGGTCCCCGCAGGGGCATCCCGTGCCCATGGGGCTTCCCGCAGCCGGGGTGATTGCCGGGGGCTTTCTGAGCGGGGTGGAGCGGAATCCCCCCGGCCGTGGGGCTGATGCCGTGCCCCCCCAGGTGATCTACGTGGCCAGGAACCCCAAGGACGTCGCTGTCTCCTTCTACCACTTCCACCGCCTGGCCAAGTTCCTGCCCGACCCCGGCTCCTTTGACACCTTCCTCACGCGGTTCCTCGAGGGCACGGGTAAGGATTGGGGGGTCCCTGGGGTCCCGGAACTCGGCCACGGGACCCCCCATCACCCCCTGCCTCCCCCCCAGTGCACTACGGCTCCTGGTTCGACCATGTCAAGGGCTGGCTGAGCCAGCGGCAGCTCCTGGACATCTTCTACGTCACCTACGAGGAGCTGCACCAGGTGAGCCCCGGTGTGTCCCTGTCCCCGTCCCCGCTGGCTGCCCGGGGCTGACCATGCCTCTGCCGCAGGACCTGCGTGGCACAGCGCAGCGGCTCAGCACCTTCCTGGGCTGCCCGCTGGGACCGGAGACGCTGGGAGCCCTGGAGCAGCACTGCAGCTTCACCACCATGCGGGACAACACCATGGTCAACTACTCCCTCATCCCCCCCGAGATCATGGACCACAGCCAGGGACGCTTCATGAGGAAAGGTGAGGGGGGACGGGGTAAGGGGACACAGGGGGGACACGGCAGGCGCCGGCCCCAGCTGCAGCCTCCCTGCCGCCCCGTCCCCTCCGTCCCGCAGGCGTGGTGGGGGACTGGCGTGACCACTTCTCCCCCCTGCAAAACGCCCTCTTCAACCGCCTCCAACAGGAGA